ATACTGCTTAACCAACCCCTCACCATTAACCACCTCAAATCTGCGGGAAATGGTACATCCTCAGGGATGCTGTTCAAGCCCTCAAGTCTATCCCTAAAATCTGACAAACAGAAATGTTTTTCCAGGACTAAGCAGCATCGAGTTGTGTTTAGTTGACGTCAGTAGATCTGTTAGCTATGGAACAACATTCATGTCAAAGAAATCCCCAACCCTAATATCAACAATCCCTAAAATCACAGGCAAAAAAAATGTTAACAAAAATATTTCACAAGCCTCCAGCCTTAACTCTCACTGGGGCTGGGCGATATACCGCTAGACACGAGTAACCGGTAGAGATTTTGGACTATCGCCTTTATCGCAGTTACGCTGTGTGCCATGGTCAGGAAAATGTATCGCTTGCACGCATGAGCTTGAGATTTTTTGCTTCTTGTTTTATGCTTATATTAGTTTTTATTTTTGTGATACTAACACTCGTGACAAGAATTATGAGAATTCAATGGTATCAAAAATGTTTATATCATAAAAACCTTATTAAAAGCAAGAATAACTACATTGAGATATATATCGCTATATAAGATTTTGGTCATATCGCCCACCCCAACTCTCAATAAAACCTGGTGATGAACAAAGTTATTGACCAACATGGACTTTGATCCAGGAACAAATCCTACTTGGCGCAATAATAAGGATCATAACACAAGTGTACCGAGTCAGGCTAATTCACACAAACATATTCAATGCATTCGTGATGCTTTTTTTACTTTGTCAAGTACTCTGCTGTGTTTAACTGCTGTTTGTTCAGATATTTGCCTCAAACATTTGGTATTTGCAATAACTGAAAGAATTAAATCAAAAGAGCGAATGAAAGAGTAAAACCCAAGGAAGTAAATTCCCCTAAAATATCATTTGATCTAATCTGGAAACTCTGGCTCACTTGCACTGGTCTCTCAGCTGACACAGGCTGCACTCGGACCACAAGAATCGCCTCTTACATAAAACACAACACTGGTCCTCATGAGCGCCATGACACACAGCTAATCACCTCACATTGATGCAATTATTCCCTCGTGATCAGAGCTGATGATTAGGCAGCCTAATGGTCACGCTGTGATTCGAGTCCTATTGCAATCACAAACACAGCATCTGCTCTAACAGATCCGGCCCTCCGCTCATTCACGGTACCTAAGCGGATCTGGACTGTTCTGAGGAAGAAAACAAGAACTGATCCTCCATCCGCTGGATTAGAGTGTGTTAGGACAATGACTGACAAATCACCGGCTCTCACACAGGGAAGACGAGGTCTGCAGATCTGTGCGGTTCAGCGCTATAGGGAAGTTCAGCTTCTGCATTTGGTTAGTGCTTTGTGACTCAGTGACACACCAGAAAACAAGCAAAGCCGCTGTTGTGAGGGAAGCGATGACGCGGTGAGGCGTTACACACACAGACCTCTGAATATCTGCATGAGCTCTGATCCAGACAACCACAATCTGACCAGTACTCCTCATATACTCTTTATCAGCTTTCAATCAAAATGACTGATTTCAAAAGAGATTATTTCATATACATTAGTGTTGTTAAAAGTACAAGTACTATGGTACCAAGTCAATACTAAAATATTGAAAACGTAACCCGTTACCGGTTGATGAGCATCTGCTTTCAAACACTCTCATGAGCATTTGTGTGAGCGCCCTGCGCCAAAGGTTTCTATTTACAAAGTGTTTCTGCAGCATTCAATCACAGTCATGTTTGTTGAGCGTGTGAATGCAGTGACCAATCAGACGCATTTAGGATAGAATCCACTCAATACACCAGAGTTTGTTCAGTGTCGCTATAACCAAAGTATAAACACAATGTAAATATAAGATTAATAGTGCAGCATAGACAGATTTTTGATTATAATGGAAGTTATACCTTGAAATACAGAGTTCTGGTATGAAACTCTAGATGGCGCAGTCCGATAGGTCTAACTCAATCTGACCTGATGACATCATCACATGGCAGCTGATTGGTTCTCTCCTGTATCGGTAGCCAATGAGCTCGCTGCTCAACATTCAAATATATGACTAGTGTTTGCCGTAGCAGTGCAGCTTGCTTCAGAAACCCTCCACCTTCCCCAGCTCCACCTGTATAGATCTGCTACGGGGTGATTCATGTACGCTATGGGGGTTATTCATATGTGTTATATTTGCAGCAGCAGTATTTCTTACATGCTCACAGCAGCATGTTGTGGATGTATTGGCAGTAGCAAGTCTCAGTACTTGCTCTGCCGCAGCAGCAGCAGCAGCGTAGCAGATCTATTCCGCCAAGACCAAATACATTAACATTGTCATGTACATTACCATGCCAATCCCTCTGAGAGTTGTCATGATAGAACTGTGGCTGAACTGAAGTGATATGAGCTTCATTGATTATAAAGCCCTTGTTTGCTTGGTTTCTGAGTAAAACCCATTCATAATAAAAGGTATATTTTTATGCTGTAAAATAGATCTGTGCATTAAGTGTTGTAGTTTAAGTGCAATAGGCCTGCCACTTGTTCTGTGTAATGTGTTTCTTTGTTGTTGTATTACTTTCATTTGATCTTTTTAATGCAATGTTTGAAAAAAATCTAAGAATATTTGAAGGATACATGTTTTAATGTACTATTTAATAGCATTAATAATGAACTAATTTGATGTAATATTTTTATTTTCAAACAGTTCAATAAAAAAACACCACTAACACACATAATTATAACAAAATGAAATACAGAATTCTGAGCATTAATATTTTTTAACTTGCTGTTAAGTGTTACCATCGTATGAACCTGTAAACACAGTTTCCCAACTAACTTCTGAAATCCTGTGCAGATATTGCTTAACGCCAGCGAATCAGATTGCAGCAAGCATGACTGTTCCTGTTATAGCCACACAGATTAGTCTTCTTTAATATTAGCATAAAGAACACAACTCATTCTTTAAGTGTTTGGATAAGCAGCCAGCAACTTGATTTCAGCATTTCAATGAGCGATTCACAAGAGGCTTTGAGATGGGGATTGTGTAAATATGAGTGGGTTGTGTGTGTTTCGCAGTGTGTAGGAACTTGAAGACGAGTCTGGTGTCTGTTCACTGTCTCTGCAGTGGAGCTGTTGCTCAGGGACCTGAACATGTGCTCCAGACATGAATGACTCCTCAGATCAGGAGACGCACGCTGAAGGATGAACCTGAGCTACATCTACAGACCAAAGATAACTCAAGGATGGATTCTTCTTAATTGGGTCAGTCAGCAACTGCCCAAAACACCCTTACAATCTCACTTATTCAGAGTCACACAGTGAGTGTGAGTGTTTTCCTCCACTGCCGCTGATGATGAAACGGCCTTCCACACTGTTGCTGAAAAGAATTGTGCAACTGAATGTTTTTTCCCAATCTCAGAGCGCTTGCATTAACCCAAGCATGTTGACCAAACAGCGGCCTGATGGATTATTGGGAAAGAAACAATTACACAGCAAAAAAGCCCCAAACAGGAAGTGAACACAGAAAACAAAGACAAAAGCAGCTCTGTTCAACAGTGAGAGCCGCTTATCTGTCCTGTAAGCATCTTACTTCCTCTGCTAGGGCAAGACACGAGTCGATCAGCGTTTGTTTGGCTCTGAGGAAATTAACTCTCAGTTACTGTACCTCAGTAACTGAGAGATTTAAGAAAGGTTTAATAAAATACACAAGCAGAGCAAAGTAACACACTGTTACAAGTTCTGTTTCAAATCTCTGTGAGCGGACTGCCTACATAGTGACTGAAGAAGATAAAACAATGACAAGAAAACTAGAATACGCTAACAATGGGTCTCATTCACACCGAGCATGCGTACACACGAATGTTTTCATGGAGAAATCATGATTCACTAAAATATTTTCCTTCTAAAATTCATTCTAAATTTAAGAAAAATATAGGAACAGCTGAATGCACACATACGCAACTCTGGCCGGTCTTAATAATCTATATAAACTATAGAATAAGATATGTTTCATCTCAGGATAATCGTTGTGTACAGTAAAATGTATATTTCATCTTAAAATGAGTTCATCATATACAGTGAAAGAGTAAGAAAAGCTGTGTTAGACTAAAGCTCGAGCTGCGCGCATCTGTACAGCCGGCTAATGAGAGCTCTGTAAGCTGGATCTGTATAAAAGGTGTTTTATCGTGTATGAACTGGTTTTGAGGACTGCACTCTTTGCATTGCTCAAAGATCTGGTGAGAGCGCGTCTGTAGACAGCGAGCGTCATATGGTGTCGTGTGGAGGAGAGGCTGTAAGGAAACCCCATATATGGAGATGGTCTGGGCATCTTTAATGCAAACGACTGACCTTGTGCATGTGGCCGCTGATTTAGAATCCTCCACATTCACTAACATTAGGACGAGCTTAAGAACTAATTCATGTGCATATGCAGGTGATGAGAATTAGGTGTAAAGTTTTGGTGAGAAGTTCGAATGTGTGTATAAATACGAATAATTTACGCAATTATTAGTACTCTAATAAGTACACAAATATTTGGGTAATTAAAATGAACCAATTTTTCATTATTTTCATTCATTTTACTGATAAACAGGGTATCAAATGAAATGTATTTCTTATTGAATGGCATGAATAATCAACATTTCTCTTGACTTGTCCACCATCTTGGATGATTTTTGAGCATGTAAAATGATCTGCTCTGATGGAGTCAGTGAGTCTTTGACGAAGCGTCTCATTAGGGTCATCTGTTGGTCAATCAGACTGCACTGCATGGCAGTTTCTGTGTACGGCCCACGAGGACAACTCAATAGAAAGATTTTTTTTTCATCTCATCCTTTGGACTCTAAATTCACAACTTGGATGAAATAAAATGCCTTGTCTTGGTGGTGTAGATCATGTAGCAGTAGCCCTACTGAAAAGTGGTTCAGGAAGCAATGCAAACAGTTTTGGTGATAGGCAAACTCCCTGTCTCGCTGACGGATCGCTCCTCCAGACGCAGTGCAGCTCTTACCTGAAGCACAGCGTGTGCCAGTCCGTGTCCAGGGCCTGTAGGTACTGCTCATCACAGATGTGCTGTCTGCAGCCCGCACACTCCGGCAACCTGCCGCCGGCTGCAACAAACACAACACACTCGCATCAGCACACTGCACAGCTCATCCTAATATACAGCTCCATTTCTTACTGCAAACAGAAGTTGTGCATTAGCCACAGGCAAGACTGATGGTAGTTAGCCAATGCTGATCATTTCAAAATGCTTAAATATTAAATGATGAATTAGTCTGAACAATATATGGTTTTCCCTAATATTCTTGTTCAACTTCTTTCTCTTTTTCACTTATGGAAGTCAATGGGATCCGTCAACTGTTTGGTAACACACTAGGGTTGGGCTGATAGACTTCAGCATCATGACCCCCCCCCCATATCCCACGTAATCCGGCCACATCCCAATACCATGTTCGGGAAAAGAAAATTACGTGTACTATGGAACTCCTAAAGTTAATAAATACGAGATGAGAGGAAAATATATATTTCAATATTTTCTCTCGCAGTTATATCATTGGGTAATTATACTGTTTAAATTGCGGGCATCAGGCCGCTATTATACCTCGCATTGAAACTGCTTTTGAATGCACGATTGCTTTTTAGTTTCACTTTCACTGTGAAACTACTGAATTTTGCATTATTGACACTATTTTCCTAATTAATGCTGTTCAGTTGCTTTGACACAATCTGTATTGTTAAAAGCGCTATATAAATAAAGGTGACTTGACTGTAGACATCACCCAACCTTATTACGCACATTCTTCAAAATATCTTTTGTGTTCAACAGAAGAAAAACAGGTTTGGCGGAATTGGAGGGTGAGTAAAGGATTTGTCATGTTTGAGTGAACAGTCCCTTTAACAGCATTTCGTTGTTATCTCTTGTCTACTTAAGTTATGTATTTCCCTTTCACTGCCACTGTTAAAAATTCTAGTGTGAAAAATTCTAGCCTGAATAAAGCTTTATCAGCAGAATGTGAGCAACAGAGGCACATTGTTAATACATATAACCGGACACTACTGAGCCGGACGTACGTCATGCAGCTCAGTGCAGTCAGTTTCTGATGATCGGCAGCCGAATGTGTGGCAGTGCTGCCACTGTCAATGATATAAAACCACTGGAAACCTCATTTGACTGAACAATCCATAGTTCATAAATTATTAATTCTAATTACATCAACATGAAAATCAATTTTGTTTCCGTTCTTACAAACACAGGTCAACTCAATGTGCTAACAACAACCTCACTGTAAACATGCATGCAGAAACAAACTGAAGCAGACGCTTGGTCACCTTAAAGGGGTCATATGATGCGATTTCAATTGTTCTTTCTCTTTGGAGTGTTACAAGCTCTTGGTGCATAAAGAAAATCTGTAAAGTTGCAAAGACTAAAGTCTCAAATCCAAAGAGATATTCTTTATCAAAGTTAAGAGTCAGCCACACCTACCTAAAATGGCTCGTTCTAACACGCCCCCACATGTCTACATCACTATGTGGGAAGATGTGCATAACGCCGCCCAAATGTTCACGCAAAGAAAGAAGGCGTAACTTTTATTCTCGCTGTAGTATTGTTGCTGCCGCCGCCATGTCGTGAAGACGCTGTGTGTTTCGTTGTGAAAGCGAAACTACTTTGTTTGGTCTTCCAAAAGAGGACACGGCTAGAAATCAGTGTTAAGTTGTATTTACAACACTGTTCCAGAACACTTCAACCCAAATATTCAGATGTGTGCAGCACACTTTATGGAGGACTGTCTCCTGATCCTGGGAGAGTAGACTACAATGCCGGCTGTTCTGACTCACAGACTGTAAGTACGTTTTTTATATTTCAAGAATTTTTATATTTTTTATATTTAAAGCAAGTTTTTGGGCAGTGTAGAGTAGGCACTTTTGCATTTAGTTTCTAAACTAAATCATCCGCTATCGTCATGTCTGTCTTGCCTCACTCTTCTTGTCAGTCAGCTCACTCCTCACGTGAAAGAAATCTGATCTGTGATGCGGCTGTCGTTCGGCACGCTGCATTGAGCAGCCGCGCTCAGTTTTTAATTGTAGTGTCTGTTCTCTAACTGAACTAAATGATTTTTATTACTGTAAAAAAAAATCTAAATGATGATGGGGGACGGTGCCACGAGTGAAGTAACCGGTGTTGTGGCTTAACACTGCTAAACCGTCTACTGCAGCAAGCCTAATACAGTGCTGTCTACACTGTTAATATGAGCCAAATGATCAAATAAAAACAGAAAATCACTCACTGCTCTTGACTGAATAACTTCTGTAGCTTTAATGAGACATTTCTTACTTGAATGCTGCTTTTACGTAAATGCTCTAGTGTGAAGATAAACATGGCGGATTGTGTGCGGCTCACTCAAGATTTATGGGGATTAAAAAAAGGAGCGGGTGGATTTTTATCATTATAGGGTGGTTGTGTACACACACTGCCAACACACATTTATGTTCAAACAACATGTAAAAGTGAATTTTGCATAATAGGCGCCCTGTAATAACACTGAACAAATTACAGACATGCTTCATGGGGGATTTTAGGTGAGGAGTGTCAGTCTTCAGCTTATGCATTTCTTTATAATGCTGTTAATACTGAATGATCAGATCTACGATGCTGTGAATAATCAGGAATCAGACGGAGCAGGAGAAGCATCGCTGTACTTCATTCACAATCAGCATGATCATGAGCAGCTGAGAAACGCTTCCCTGACAAACTCAGCCAACTTTTAATAACACTGATCACTCTAGCAGAGCTTCCAACACCCAGTCAAATAAACACTCAAGAACTAAATAAATCATAATAACAACAGATGTCTATTGTCTTTATGTGGTGGAGTTGCGTCTAACACAGACTGGTGTATTTGTGAGCATCCGTTCTCTTTCTCTATGGTCTGTGTGAGATTCTGGATGATTTTTGATCATTTGTGCCATGCGTCTCTTAGTGATCTGCTCTCTGCATGTGTGTGATTCATGTATAAACTGGAGGTGTGTATGGACTGTGACGGACTTGTGGCATCTGATAGATCCATGTGTCTGTCACACACACACACACACGTGTTGTTTTTTATGGTTTATGGGGACTCTCCATAGGCATAATGGTTTTTCTACTGTACAAACGGTATTTTCTATCGCCCTACACCAACCCAACCCTACAAAAAAACACCATTTAGTATGTTTTTAAGCCTTTTGAATTACGGGGACACAGGCAGTGTCCTCATAAACCACCATCACTTCGTAATGCCTCTGTCATAACCATGTTACTATACAAATTTGTGTCCCCAAAAACCACCCAAACCCGTGCACACACACACACACACACACACACACACACACACAGAGAAAAAGTTCCCTGTAAAACCACACACACATTTACTGGAGTACATAACCTCACATGAGGGCAGGTGGATACAGGAAGAGCAGTGTGCCATTTTCCAGAATAACATCACATTAAATATGCAAAATATAAAAAAATACTAACATGGCACTTTGGACATGTTACACAGTAGTAATAGGTTTTTAACTAGTCTTTTGGAACAGCATGTCATTATGATACTATAGTATATTTTAAGTACTATAGTATCACAGTGCCATAGTCCAGAACTTTCCTATGACCTTTCCAGTCATTCAAGTCAATAGATTTAGCCTAAATGATTACATGCGCCTTCATTAAGACTCTCAACAGACAGACTGAAGTTTCAGCAAGCTTTTACCTGGAAACACTAGATATGCTACACATTCAGAAACATGATAACGGGATGCACCAGTAAACTCAGCTCAGACCTCCCCTCTTTAAATCAGACAGCTGCTGAAGGGCACACAAGTGAACGGGATGGTCAGCAGCTGAGGAGACACTGAGCACTAATGAGTGGATGTTTCGCGCAATATTGCAGCAGCGAGCGCACGTGTGCTTCTTCACAGGTCACGCTATAGCAGCACAACACAGCACTGAGAGCAGACAGCACCAGCATCATCCTCACGAGCCCTGCTGAAGATGCGCATCATCATCATCATCATCAGCAGCAGCAGCAGCAGTACACACAAGACACACTAACCTTCCTCCTCTCCCATGCGTTCGTCCTTCCAGGAGCAGCAGAGCAGCATCAACCTCATTCAAGCGCCGCGACAGAAGCTCTCCTCTGCGGTCAGACGCGCTGGAGAAACGCGGCGCTGGAACTGCGCTACTACTGCAAAGGCTTGCCTCGCCTCATGAATATTACACGCGTCGCCTCGCCTCGCGTCGCCTCGCGTCGCGCTGCTGTCTGATTAGCTGACGGCTGTGAGTCGGTGAGTAGGCGGGAGCCGCGGTGTAAGTTGCGCGGCGCCTGGGCGCTTCCCGAGCCTTCGCTATAGTGGGACTCCCGCAGACAGCAAGCCAGAGCCCGGGCCAAGCGAGCGCCTTCATCCCTGGAGAACACTGCGCATGCGCTTGCGGGCTCTCTGGCGCGAGGTCAGGTTTGTTTGGATACTTTGTGACGCCGATTAAAAGGAAAGGAAGTCAAGTTCGATACAGCGCTTTCGAAGGACAATAATGACAATATCCATTTGTTTTATTAATTAATATATGTAGGCCTATATATAAAAATATACATTTAATTGGAAGTTACGATTATTTTATCTTTGTCTGGGAAAATGTCATATAAAAAGAATCTAAATAGACTTCACAGAAAGAATGTAGCGCCCGTTTAGAGATGTCATGAATCCAATGTTTGAGATGTTTAGTTGTTTTTCTATGTTGCTGGGGAGTCACTAGTTACAGAATTAGGTCATTTTAATGTAACTAATCAGTTACAGTTACTGAGAGAGAAACGTGTAATTCAATCACAGTTACTTGTGAAAATATTAATGATTACATATATTCACATCTGAATATTTTCACACATATACAGATGTAGTTGATTTCTTTCATAAATCGCATTGACTGCTCTAAAATATGAGACACATGCTCATGCGATCACTGTGTTATTCCCTGTTTGGGTTTATATGCTTTATTTTTAAGATGAACAGTTTGTCCAAGACACTGTCAGATATCAGTGCTTCGGTCATAGCTGTGAAAAGATTTGATTTCAGAAACAGTATCATAGCTACTAAACTATATCTTGTGATTTTAAACCTGTATTTATCCTCAGAACGATCTTAAGGTAAAAAGAGGAGCTAAAGTCTGATTCTGTGGTGGCTGTGCTTCAAAATGAAAGAATTATAATCTTAAAGTGAAAGTCTGACAGTAATCAGAGCACTACTGTAATGTTACCCTGCCTGCTTTACATGCTTCAATATTATTAACTGTTGAAAACATGCTTTAGGTATTTAGAAAAAAGTAATCAAATGGAATCAGTTACATTACTTTAATAAAGTAATTGAACTAGTTACACTACTTATTACTTATTTAAATAGGGTAACTTGCAATCTGTGACCTGATACATTCCAGACTAAGCTTCTGAACGCTGTCTGATGTGGTGTTCTTCACACAGTGTGTGTGTGTGTGAGTGTGTGAGTGTGTGAGTGTGT